TGTGTGTGTGTGTATGTGTGTGTGTTAATATTAGGGCAAGTTTGGTAACATGGACCTCAAGCTCTGACAGTTCAGAACCGGCTACAAGTTGGTATCTTCGTTTTTGGATCTGCAAGCGGCACTAATCGCGTGTTTTGTGGAACTTATTTCACGAAGGAGTTCAATCTCACAAACCAGACGTGAGCATAAATCCGAGCTGCTCCTTCGAACGACTGCAGTCTCGACCCAGCCTTAGCTCTCCTATTAACATTTAGAACTTACTCATTTGGCATTAAGTAGTATCGTCGAAGAAAACAAAATTCATTGGATTAAAAATAGTATTAAGCTTCGAAAATTCCAGTTTCTACATTTTCATTTTGAATAATGAACAACAATTTGATGTTCACCCTCCTCTGACAGGACTCGAACCGTGAGCACGCATACTAACAGACCACAAGGTTGCATCCGACGACACAATAAACTGACCGAATGAGATACAAGATGGACAGAGTCTTTAAGTCTCTCGGAAAGTACACGTTTGGCGGGCACTTTTGCTGTTCATCACGCACATTTCGGGTTCCGCTGGGGGCGCTGATGAGGCTGAAGGCATAAAAAGTTCTTTTTGGAATCGACGACAAAACTGAGGTCACTTAGCACACCGACTTTGCGTCACCGGACGCCTCCGAGCCGAGACTGTCACTCGCGAGTGGGCACACGGCTCGAATCGCTTAGACTGCACTACTTGCGAGTAGTGCCGGTGTGTGCTGTACCATTTTGAGATGAGCAAAGCAATCAAATGACCGCACGAACGCATGCCATGACGCCATTTCAGCTCATTCCGCAGCTCACAGGACGCCTCACGCTCTGTCGTCCGGTCGACGTACATTCTTTGCCGATGCCAGAGCTACTGCTCACTTCACTCCATCAATGAAAAGTGGTCAAAGTTGAATGGCCAGTTCGGGCCATTTAGTCGCCAAGGTTGGTGGGGAACGACAAAGTGTACGCGTCTTTTGTGGGCAAACTGGCATTTCCGTGGCGGAGGGAGGCGCGGCTCTCCGTTCTCCCCTCGAGCCGTCACGCATTCCCAACTCGCCCCCCGACGGCCGGACTCGACGAGCCGCCTCGCCGCCTCGCCGCGGCGCTTTCGGTCAGCACATTCGTCCCGTTTCACATCAACCCGTCGGGCAAAACTTTCGCCCACTTGACTGTCGGGCATGTGTATTTCTCCC